ATACATACATACATACATACATACACACATACAGTATTTTAAAGTATTAAAGTAGAAAGAGCTCTTGTCAGAATATGTATCAGTATCAGCAGATGTGTATCGGAATCGTATCAGGGCTGAAGACGTGGATCAGCCCATCCCTATACAGCTATACAACTTCAGAAATAATGGAGAGACTCCATGTTTTCTTAAATTTGCATCTTAATCCTAGTTTTTCCTGGTTCTGCTGATAGAAAGCTATACTGAATGGCAGGTTGCTTCCAGGTCCAAAATGTCTAAGACAGCAGTACACAAGAACAAGGTGAAGCAGGAGACACTGGGAATAACCAAAAACTAGCCAAAAACTAGTGGTGGACTGCAGAAGCTACTTTCTAATGTCAGAGGTGACTGTCAGCTTAGCCAACGGTACCTCATGAATCAGAGAATGACCTCAATTGACCTTCAGAAAGAATGTGAAACATTAAGTGGTGTGAAATGCACTGTTAGGACAGTTTGTAACCGGCTCCAAGAAGCAGGATTTAAGTCCCCTAAAGCAAGGAAGCCCTTCATTAAAGAGAAGCAGAGAAAATCCAGGCTGGTAACTGCAAAAAGAATGTATATTTTACACAGGCACATAACCATAAATAGGGCTTGGTACAAATCCCAGTGTGAATATGGCACCAGTTCCTATATGATCAGTATGCACTGGACTGTATTGCAATGCAGATTTCGGTGCCACTTAAATACCTAGTGCTAGGGGCACCTGAAGCATCACTAAAGCTCACGTGCCGTCGGTAATTAACATAACACTTGTTCTGAAGTCAGTAGACACTTACTGTTAGCCTATGGCCTTTAATTAGTCTCAAAACCCACGCGTGTATATGCTCTCGCAAGCAGAAAACTATGCGCTCGCTGGCTCGCTCGGCGTTAAATTAGTCTGAATACCCTGGACCATGCATGCATATGCGCCCGCGAGCAGAAAACCCAACCTCTCTACAGGCCAGAGGTGGAAATTTCAGGTCCAGAAAGTATAAATCCAGACCATGATTTTGTTTCAACCAACCAGCTGAGTACTCTGTGACAGTGTCTCTTCATACGCAATTGGTTGGTTGAAACAAAATCCTGGTCTGGATTTTTACTTTCTGGACCTGAAATTTCCACCTCTGGCCTGTAGAGAGGTTGGGTTTTCTGCTCGCGGGCGCATATGCAGGCATGGTCCAGGGTATTAAGACTAATTT